GGCCAAAAACGGAACAATCTGGAATGCAGCCCGTTCGGGAAGTTGCTCCTGCAGCCAGGATATAATGGCGTCGGCGGGCCCCCCGCAGAACTCTCCGCCAGAAGGGGGTCAAGACACATTTCTGAACTTTGAGCGCGAGGTCAGCAAGTCGCCGGGTGAGAGAAACAAAAACAAACGTCTGAAGCGTTCCAGGTCGAGGAGCGCGCGAAGGGCGGCGCCCGCGTCGACGGCGCGCGCGTACTTTGCCACGGGCCTTCGACTGCATAGCCCTGTCTATGTCCATCAAGAACGGGTTTGACGCGATGGCGTAGACCATGCCCGACGCTGGGCACCCCTGAATGATGCCACTCTCGATTGAAAACGCGAGCTTTAGCTCGTTGTCCGCGCAGGTGAAGCAGCGCGCAGACTGGTAGAGGCGCGAGATGAAGTGGAGCAAGAGCGCTGGGCCATGGAGCCGCCGCAAGCACATGAGGAGCCATTCGTGCGCGATGGGCGGGAAGGCCTGGCCGTAATCGAAGCTCACAAGAACGGGCTCGCGCGAGATGGCTACGTAGTTACCTGTTGCCCCCCTGTTTGTTTCCATGCTGTATATCCGTGCATATGTGTCTAGCTCTTATATGTTCTGTCCGAAGTTACGTCCACCTACACATTCCCGTTAAGTGGGGGCGATGAAACTGCCCAGAGCTTTACTCAAGGGGCCGCACGCAACGCCAGTCAATCTTTTGTTCGCGTGTTCTTGGGCCCAGTGGGCGAGTTTGGAAAGGGCCACGGCGGGTGGCAACCTCATCGGAGTCTTTGGAGCCCTTGGTGATGCGCACCTTACGGAGGTCGTTGAATGAGGCCATGGGGGTTCCCGTTGAGGACCCACCGGGGCATGCGATCCAGAATCGCATGCCCTTGGGGGCGCCCTTGCCACGCAGCGAACGGGGGCGCGCCAGGGCCAGGTGCGGAGCGCTGGAGGCCCTGAAGGTACTTCTTGATGGAGGCCAGGGATGGGGGAGCGAGGTCGACAAGGCTGGGGGGCACGCCGAACCGCTCTAAATACCTCCCTGCTTTTTTCTGGAAGACCGAGGCCCAGTGCTGGGAGAGGACCTGCATCATTTTGCCGGGCTCGGTGCATCCGCCGTCGCCAATTCGCACTCCACGAAGCGTGAGCCTCTTGTCGAAAAAGGGCCCCAAAGTTTTCTTCGTTGCACAACTGCGCGCAGGCGGCGTCTGAGCTTGCGCGCCTAACTCGCTGACTGCGCCCTGGACAAGCTGGCCCGAATCTCAGCCTGCTCACGCTCAGCGACACGTCGGTGGAGCTCCGAAGATGCCTGCAATAATTCAAACACGCGCAGGAGGGTGGCCGACCCTTCGCGGGCCCTCGTGTCCAAGTAGTGTTTGGCCATGACGCGCGAAGCCCTGAGGCGCTGTCCCAGGGCCAGATCTGGTGTCCAAGCTGCTCTGCATTTGCTTTTGATGATCATAAATTTGGTGTGCAGGGACTCGGGCCGCTTTACGATCATGGCGCTCCTAGCTAAAAGGGCTGTCTCTCTCATGATCCTCGCCTGGTACTGGAGCAGGATATGGGGGCACCTATGTTCAGTGCTTCCCAGGGAATTGGCTCTCTCCAAATGTCCTCGGTGCTCAGGTTTTTGAAGCGCAGACTTGGAGATCGGACGTTCACCAGACGGCATCGGAGGGCTGCCCGCAATACTGACCACGAGCGAGGCGTGGTCTGAGAGGCCCTTCGAGTGGAGGATCTCAGGGTAGTGGCTGACCTGGCCGCTGGCGAAGAGCTGGTTGCGCGCCCATCCAGGAGAGCTGATGAAGACGCGGTCTATCGTGTTGAGGGCCCCCAGGGCGCGGTTGAAATGGACTGGGCTGGGGGTCCCGGCTTCAGTCTTATAAGCCAGGATCGGGGAGATGATGGGGTCCTTGGAGGCTCTCCAGTCCCGAAGATAACAGAGAGGGCCCTTGGCAGGGTTCCTTCCAGCTTCCGCGGGTCACGGTCAGCAAGGTTCAAATCGCCAGCAATCGCCGCGAGCTTAGAGGTGGGGGAGAGAGCGGCAGAGGCAAGACGATCACGAATGGTGGGAGCGATCAGACGACGTTCCCCAGCCGAGAGCCCATGTAGGTACAGGTTGAAGCGGGCGGTCCACTCCGTCTCCGAAAAACGAAACCATCGGCTCCAAAGCCCGACCAGGGACCAGGACCGAATGACGAACTTGATGAGGCCGAACAAGTAGCTTCGTCCTGTCAACAATGGGGGGCGAGCGCGACGACCCCACCGGCACGGGGGTTCGGGCAGAAGGATGAGACGAAGGAGAGGGCGGAGTTGGAAAAGTAAGACAGGTCACGCATCTCTGCGTCGGTGCCGCGCGTCTCCTGGATCGCAATGATGGAGCCAGGCTGCCGCGGCGCCCTGAGGAAAGCGATCTTTTCAAAACGAATGCTGGCCTTGAAATGGAAGAGCGCCTGTGCGCTCCACGTCGCCAGTCTCGCTGGGGCCCGAGCTCCCTCGGGATTGACCCACTTCTGAAGCAGCGGGCTAAATGCTCCACGAGGCCTCGGATGCGGGGCGAAAACCAGCCGTGACACCGTCGAGGATGGTCTTCTTATCGATGCCGAAAGTGCGGAAATTCGCCATGCAGGAAGAAGTCTTCGGCGGAGCCACCCGCGTGTGATTCCACATGCACGAGTGGCTTCCACTGGCATGACACTTCGCACTTCTCCTTGTCGCTGTAGAACCGAAGGTTGTGACGATGGGGTCCCAACTCTCGCCGACCTCACTTGAGGCGAGGCCAGGCTCACGCTTGACCTGGGCCATGCTCTTGTGTCCTGATATGAAGACCTCCTGGCTGGAATTGTCCGCGGCGGTGCACTGGAAACGCTCCCATGTGTTGTCATGCTTACGAAGTGTTCCGAGAGCCTGCTGGACCTTCCTCGTGGCGAACGGGATCGTTCCTCTGATGCGGGGAACAGACCTGGTGGCCACAGGCTCGCCCTCGAGCACATAGTCTTCGTCTTGAATCTGAGCACGTCGGAGCCAGTCACCGATGGCGGCCACGACGGCGGCCTTGGCGCAGGAGAGCTTGGTGCGGAGCAGGAGCATGGTGGGGTCGGTGTTCCGATTGAACCCAGGAGCAGCAGCAAGAGCGGGCGGTCTCACTGACGTGATGTCGCCCAGCGTCTGCTGCAAAGCTTTGATGGGCTCCTCGGGCAGGTCGATGCGGGCTTCTTGTGCGGACTGCTTGTTCTCGACTGCGTTGAGTCGGCTTTCGGCCCTCTGGCCAATGCCATCCCAGCTTTTCGTGAAGGTGTTCGAGAGCGAGGCGACGGACTGCTGCACAGCGGCGGGCGCCGCGAGCATGGTCTGCTTGGACGTGTCCACAAAGCTGCGCAGGCTCGCAGCATCACCCGGGGCGACCACTCCGATCCGCTGGCGCTTGCTCGGGTTTTCGACAAGCGTGGCCTCGGGTGTTGACGGGAAGGTCGAAACGGCAGCCCACGCTGCAGCCAACTTGTCGTCGCCACCGGTCGTGGTGGCACGAGCCTCATCACTGGGCCAGGGGGCCTGGCGAGGGAACTGCCGCAGTCGGGCGACTGGCAGCAGCGACGATAATCACCTGCGGAAGCTGAGGGCGGCTCGCCTCGAGCCAGCCCCTCGGCCGCTGACAAGCACGAAACCGCAGGGCACGGTTTCGTACTTGAGCCAACCTTGCTACGGATCTCCTCCTCCTCCTCCTCCTCCTCCTCCTCCTCCTCCTCCTCCTCCTCCTCTATTCCTTTTTCTTATAAATCATTTCTCCCTGTCGCGCCCCGAGGTCAGTTCTTAGGGCGGTGCGGGCGTTTCGCCTGAGGCTTCCTCACCACTTCTGATTCTGAAGCTTGTGCCAGCAGCTTCACAGATGGAGGGCGGGTGGTTTTCAAAACGTGGCTCTCGCCTTAGCGCCGTGCACATCCAATCTCTCTCTCTCTCTCTCTCTATATCTCTCTATCTCTCTCTCTCTACCTATACAAACTTGATTCGTACATGTATGTATGTATATCTGAACTCCTGCAAGCGCTTCACGGATTGAGGGCGGGCCTTTTTCAAAATATGGCTCTCGCCTTAGCGCCGCGTGCATAAGTCATCAGTGGCTTCACGGATCGAGGGCGGTTCTTTTTTCAAAATGTGGCTCTCGCTTCGGCGCCGCGCACACTCGATTTAAAAGTGTGCAAACGCTTCGCGGATTGAGGGCAGTTCCTTTTCAACGTGTAGCTCTCGCCTTAGCGCCGCGCGCGTACATTTAAACATGAGCAAGGGCTTCACGGAGCGAGGGCGGCTCCTTTTCAAAATGTGACTCTCGCCTTAGCGCCGAGCACACTCGTTCTTGCACGGGTTCCCAATATCAACGCACCAAAAATCGTGCTTTCAACGATTCAGGATTATGCGGGTGCAACAATCATGTTGGTTCGCGGTGTTGAAATTCCAAAAATGGCGTTCTGACAGGATTCCGGATCGTCAAGACGCAGCAGTCAAGTTGATCCGTGGCGTTCGTCATGCGTCAAGGTCTTCAAACGTCAGGCATGCGTCAGGGTCTTCAAACGGCTGTCTCCCAACGAGGCAGTTCCCTCACTGGAAATGAACCGTTGTAGGGGCCTATGAAGAGGGAGCTTGGAGGGCGGGTCAGTTTCAACATCGTTGGTGACTCTTGGGTTTACACTGGTCCTCCTCCTCCTCCTCCTCCTCCCTCCTCCTCCTCCTCCTCCTCCTCCTCCTCCTCCTCCTCCTCCAGCTCCTCCTCCCCCCCAACACCTCCTCCTCCTCCTCCTCCTCTTCCTCCTCGGGTCGCCTACGGCCCCGGGGGGAACCGCGCAGCCAGAGGCAATTCGGACGGCGATGGGGCCGGGAGAAAAGAGGCAAACGGAGAAAAACGGTCGGAGCAGGGGGACGACAGGGGGGAAGTGGGCGAGGGCAGGAGGGGGGCACGCGCGAGGAGGGAGCAGGACAGCCAGGGCAGGAGCAGCGGGGCCTCTGCTGAGCCAGAAGTTCAGCCAGCCAGACTGGTACACCATGGTCTCGTAATACCTCGGCTCACGCGGCCTTCTTCTCCCCTTCCCCCTCCGCGCCAACCAACCTTCCCCCCCCCCGCCATCCCTCCCCATCCGCTCCTCCCTCCTCATCCGCTCCCCCCCCTCCCTCCCCAGCCTGTCAACATACAGCTTGCCGTATCATGTGCGCGTTTGCGATTCATTCTTCATGCGCCTATCAGAGCCACCAGCTGTTTGTATGATTCAAGCGTTCGCAGGCGTGGGCCCAGACCAGTTAGTCCTTGTACCCAGTGTGTGTGTGTGTGTGTGCGTGTGTGTGTGTGTGTGCGTGTGTGGGCTGTGTGTTGCAATCTATACTGTGTGGCGTAAGTTTGGTTGCCTGCATCCGCGCGTGACCACCTCGAACGCTCGTGCAAACATTCCACCCGCTCACCCGCATCTAGCTGGCACAATTCAACAGGGTTCGAGAGCGACGATGAACATGACGATGATTATGCTACTCACGGCGATTGAACTTAAGTTGATGGTGATATTGATCACGGTGGCAACGATAACATTGGCGCGCAGGTGACGAGGAACTGCGCGCGCATCACTTTTACGGGGGCGACGGCATCGACGATTATGATGACGGCGATGGTAATGATGACGACGGCGATGATGCTGCTGCTGCTGCTGATGATGAAGATGCAGATGATGATGGTGATGATGCGGATGATGATGACGGTGATGGTGATGGTGATGGTGATGGTGATGGTGATGGTGATGGTGATGATGATGATGATGATGATGATGATGATGATGATGATGATGATGATGATGATGATGATGATGATGGTACTGCTGATGGCGATGTCACAAATCATAAGAGTAATCCGCGGCTCCGGCGTTTGAGTTTAAGAAATCTAAGCTGAAGCTCTGCTTCAGCATGAACTTTAGCTCTGCTTGGGAGGGGGGGAGCGGGGGGACGTAATTAATTGACGAATTCAGACGAATTCGGTGCTCGGCACCTCCCCCCCCTGCCATCCCGTACCCAGGAGATAGTGGGGGGGGACACAGAGAGGAGTGGGGAGAGGGGGGGGG